ACTGCATTGTCAGGCACTTCATTTAATACCTGCCCTATGAGATGAGTAGTACTCTAGCTCAGAGAGGATAAGAAACTCGTCCAAGGTCACATGGCTAGTAAGTGGCAGAGGGTTCTCTTCAGTGAAGTTAGATATCAGTTAAAATTGTCCTGATAAAATCAGTTTGGCATCATTATACATTAACAAATATTTACTGAACTCTACTTTGAGCCAGACACTCTTCTGTGTGCTGGGGATACAGTGTTTAAGAAGACAGAATTCATGCTCTAAGAAACATATATTTCATTGGAGAAAGACCACAGATATGTAGACAGACATAGTGAATTTAGATAGCAATAAATGCTAAGAAGAAAATAAAACATGGTAATGGGATAACGATGGAGAGGAGTCAGAGACAGCCTGTCTGAAGAGTGACATTTAAGCTCAGATCTGAATAAAATGAGCAGAAGCCAACATTTGAAGTTGTGTGGGAAGAACGTATCTCAAAGAACACCTACTGCAACATCCCCAATTGGGTAAAAGCTTGGCAAGATGGAGAAAAAAAGAGAATTAAAGGCTCTGACAGTTAGCAAACGGGAGTGATAAGGGATGGAATCAGAGAAATGTCAGGGACCAGAACTTGGAGGGCTTTGTTGGCCATGTTGAGGTATTTGGATTTCATTGTTAGTGCAATGAGAAGCCACTGGAGAGTCTTAACTGGAGAATCTGATGTCTGTTTCAGAAAGAATGCTGACTGCTGTGAGGAGAATGGACAGTAGGGAAGCTAGGTAAGAGATGATGGTAGATTAGTCTAGGGTGGTAGCAACAGATATAGGGAGGAATGGTAAGATTCAATATGTATTTTTAGAGATAGAGCCAATAGGACTTGGCTGAGAGGTTGCATGCAGGGGATAAGGAAAAGAGAGTTATCACAGTAACTTGTGGCTTATGACTATAAACAACTAGGTATATGTTGTGTCAAGAAGACAGTATTTCAGTCTGTAGTTGAGGGGCTCCAAAGAAAAGAAGATAAAAATATACAAATCATAAGCATATATATGGTATTTAAGTCTTGGAATTGAAGGGAGCTGACCTAGAGAAAATAGAGAACAGGCTTGAGCCCTGAAGCCCTACAACATTAGGAAGAGAAGCCAGCAAGGGAAACCGAAAGCTATTGGCCGGTGAGCCAGTAAAAATCTGAAGAGCATGGCATCATGCATTGAAGCTCAGAGAATCAAGTGTTTCAAGAAGGCAGAAATGGTTAATTGTGTCCAACAATGCTGAGAAGATGAGTAAGGTAAGGACAGAAAATTGACCATTGAATTTGGTAATAAAGAGGTCCCTGGTGACCTCCAGAAGTCAATTCAGAGGACTGATGAGGATACACACCTAACTAACTGGAATGGGCTCAGGGGAGAATAAGCAGTAAGGAAAGGAAGATGGTGAATATGCACAACTCTACAGAGTTTTGCTTTGAAGGGGAGCAGGAAACAGGACAATATCTGGATTATAAAAGTTTTATTTGAATTATTTTCCTGTCTGTTAATAGCTCAGGCACCATCTTATTGTTCCTTTCCGTTTTTTTTGTTTTGTGTTTTTTAAACCCTTTAAGCATTTCTTCTGTCAAGATCCTTATACACGCTGGCTGGTCAAGCCCTTTCAAGACAGAAGCCTATGATACAAAATTTTCCATTTCTCCCAATCAGCCATCAAAAATCCTGTCTGTCAAATGCCCAAATTTCATCTTCCTCAAGGTCCTGGGCCAACTTGCTGTTATGGGGTAAAGAGGCTTAGAGAGCGCATTCAAGGCGATGGAAGTTATGGAAGAGGTCTTTCTAATGAGCATAACACTTCTCCCAACATACTCAAGGTTCACACTCCTTTGATGATTGAAGATACTATAGTTTCATTTGCCACAAATCAGGTTCCTAGTCTTTGCTCAGTAGGTTAAGAGCTTGTGCTGACAATGAAGTCCTGAGTTTGAGTCTACAAGAGACAGTTTTCCTATCCTCTGGAAGTTATGTTGCAGGGGTGGAACCAGACCAGACTGGTTGCGTATCTACTTCTCTTCCTGGAAATACAATTCAAATACCTTCATAGTGCAACATAATCAGTGGTATTATCTTTATAACCAATGGGCAATAGTAGCATTTTTATTTATTAATGGTATCTATAGGCTGAACTTCTATTGAGTCATTTACTATGTTTTCCAGGGATACTTTCCAGTCTGAATGGTGAGGTGCCTCCAATAGAAGCCATGTCATCTACTGGCCCTTGTTATGGTAGCACAATATGAGATGTGGAGGAATGACAGTTTTTTTTTTTTTTTTTTAACTCAAACTTAAATCTCATATGTTGGTTCAATCAACAAATACTCAGTGAGGAGTATTCCCTTCTGTCATGAAATTTACATTCTAGTGGGAGGAGATACACAATAGCAAATCGCCTAAGTAAAAGATTATGATCTAAGTAACACAGAGAAAAATAAGGCAGGGGACAGTGATAGAGATCGCTGTGGTAGGGGGTTGCAATTTTAAATAGAGTGGGCAGGAAAGGCCTCATGAAGCCTTTGAGTAAAGACCTGAAGGAGGTGAGGAACTGATCCGTGCAGATGTCTGTGGAAGAGCCTTCCATGCAGAGGGAAGAGACCCTGAAGCAAAAGTGTGCATGGTCTATTCAAGGAGAAGTCTCCCAGGCCAGGTCTGGAGCTGAGGGACAAGAGAAGTAGATGTAGTGAAAGATGACAGGAGACCACATCATGTAGGGACTTGTAGATCACAGCAAGGGCTTGGATGATTACTCTGAGATAGGAAGCTGTTGGAGAGTTTTAGCAGGGAAGTGACATGACCTGGCTTGTTTTAGATTTTACCCTGACTGCTGTATTAAAAATAAACTGGGGAGGGGGTGGAGGCAGAGCAAGAGCAGAAGATCAGTTAGGAGCCTTTCCCAGTAATCCGGGTGAGGAATGATGATTGGCTTGAACCAAGGTGGTGGCAGTAAGGGATGTGAAGTAAATAAACAAATTACGGATATTTGGGATTTGCCAACAGATATATAATGTAGTAGGAGAGAAAAGAGTCAAGAATGACCCTGAAGTTTTTGGCCTGAGCAAATGGAGAGTTGCCATTAACTGAGATAAAGATCAAGAGTTCAGCTTTATACATGTGAAGTTTGAGATGTCTATTAGACAGTCAAGTAAAGGTGCTGAGAAGGTACTTGGATAAGATCAGCCTGGAATTAAGAGAAAAGGTGTAGACTAGAGGAGTTGTCAACATACAGATGGTATATAAAGCCATGGAACTGGAGATGACCTAGGGAGTGAGTATAAATAGAAGAGGTCCAAGGAATAAGCCCTGGGTACTCTAATATACAAAGTCAAGACAAGAGGAGACTAAGAAGTAGCAGCCAATGAGAAAAGAAGGCTTTGTGTAGTGTCTTGGAGGACAAATGATAAAGTGTTCCTAAAAGAAAGAGGTCAATTGTAAAATGAGGACTGAAAAATGAGATTGACAACAGCAATTTGGCTGATGTAATTAAAGTAAGTTCAAGAGAGAATGTGAGTAGAGAAACTGGAAGCAGAAAGTACGGACTACACTTCTGAGTTATACTGTAAAGGAAAAGAAAAATGACGCAGTAGCTGGAGAGGAAGGTGCATTTATTTTTTAAGATGGGAAAAATCGCGTATTTGTATGCTGGCAAGAAGGATCCTATAGAGAGGGAAAAACTGTGGTTTCAGGAAACAGAGGGAAGAACTACTGCAGCCACATCCTTGAGCAAGTAAGTGTAAAAATAGAGGAGTCTGTCTTTGCTTGGAGCATGTAAAATTCATCCATAGTAACAGGAGAGAAGGCAGGGTATACTGACTGTCTCACATTACATAATGGTCCAGATAAATCAGAGATCCCAGAGGTCCAGATAAAGAAAAGGTGATATACTTTCTGTTTTTCAAAATTTCTTTAGATAGCTAATTCATAATTTACTATTTTAAATTTGCAGTATGTTTTAGAAATGTAAAATAACATAGCTGTAAGTATAGACTAGCAGGAGAGCTTGGAAATACCAAAACTAAAGTTAGAAGGCAGAGGCACTCAACTAAAATAGAAATTACAGGTGTTTCAAGGAACACCCTAGCACACCTGTGACAGTGCTGAAGAAATTCTCCTTCTGGGGTTGCTAGCATGCTATTTTCTTGATGTAACTTACCATTTACAATAAAGGTGGTAAATTATTACTGTGTCACTACCCTATAGCAACACAGCAATAGCTCCAGAAAAGGGGATAAAAATATAAAATGAAAATAAAAAGAATTAGAATGGATATGTAGGCTTTTATTAGGGTAAGTATGTCCATAACCATAAAAGATCTCTTTAAAACAAATAGATGTCCCAAGTATCTTTGCTAAATAGTAATTCAAAACAAAGTAAAAATTAGTAAAATTAATTATAAATTAACACATTTCAGCATATAAATCAACAAGCCTTGAAAAAATTTTTAATACCAAGACCTAATTACATTCTTTTCTAAGTTAGAGTAACTAATAATGTGAAAACCATAATTAATACAGATTACACAAATTATACTTTTCCAACGCAAAGGAATATATTTGATGTAATAATCTTATGAATCCCATTTGATACTATAAAATAAACTTTACTGGACACAATTAAAAAATCTCAGAAAAACAGATACCCTGAAAAAGGTAGATACTGTATATAAATAATTTAAAAATCATGTCACCGGCATGAAAATATAACATCATTTTAATATAAGAAAATGCTGTACCAAAAAGGCTGTCAAAATACAGAAGAAGCAATATTTGAAAATAAAGGAAAAATCAAGATCACTAAGCAGTGGCAGCTATTTCTAATGTATAACAGACACTGAAATGCCATAGGGGAAATGAACAGACCTATTTTCTGAAGTGGTAATGACAAAGGACAGAGGAAGCTTTTAGTAATGCAAGGGACACAGCTAATTCACTTACCACCTCCTTCAAATAAACGTGAGACTCTCTGGGGAGAATTTAAGCACCAATTGTAGATATATCTTATAGCAGTTAATGAAATGTCTCATCTCGTAGCAGACTATTTCAACGGTGAGAAAGATGTAGGAATCAGAAGCAGATTCTGCTGTGATACTAGGTAGTTGGCACTTTCCTGGCCTGGAAAAAAAAAATCATAAGACAAATAAAGTTAATGACCTAATCAAATATGTTCTAAAAGTAATTCATGCCTAGTAAAATAGCTTACCAGCTGCCACAACTCTGGGGTCCTCATGAGACTGATGTCTCCCAGCTGCACGACTATCTGGACTCTCATGCCACCAAAGAACATGAACTGCAGAAATAAACCCAAAATAAAGAACATGGCATTCCCATAAATAAGAACTACAGAAAAGTGAATCAGATCAGAGACATTAAGTCTCATTCTTTAAATCAAAATAGTGAATATCAAAAAGGTAAAACTAAATACGTTAGTGTCAAGATTTCAGAGGGGTCAGAGATTTGGGAAAGAAATTTATAAATTAACTAATCAAACTGGTTTTACTGATGAAGCAAGAGAAGGCTGGAGAGGGGAGGTAAGGTAACATGTGAAGACAAAATCAAAACTATACTCAAGTTTCATAACTTCCTACTGTATTTAAAAAAGCAAGATTACAAAGAGAGTTGTGTTTACTGCAGAAAATTTAGATGATACGAAGAAGAAAATAAAAATAAGCATAATCTTAACCTCTCAAAGAAAACCTCTTAATATTTGGTCTATTTCCTTTAAAAACTATGTAAAATCAGATTAGGGTTATACTGTATAGTATGCTTAGTAACAGATTTTTAAAACTCAACAATATATTTTCTATGTCAATTTAATTTTTGATGGCCAAGCTAATTCCTCATACATATTTATAAATACACAGATAATACTAGATATATTATATATCCTTTGAAATTTCCTTCCTGTATAACTAAACATATCTATACACATATACACCAATGCATATTTCTTAGAAGTAAAATTATTGGCAAAGACAATGAGAAAAAGCTAAGGCTTTTTATTTATATTGCCAAATTTTTTTGGGAAAAATTAAGCCAATATGAACCCAATAGAGTATATGAGTACTTATTTTTTCTTGACCTTCTTAACATTATGTTTACATCTATAGTTATATCTGTATCTATATCTACATCTGTATGTCTTTGCTAGGTTAAAAATAGTATCTGATTATTTTAATCTGCATCACCTTAAATATAATTGAGACGCCATCTGTATGTTTACCTTTGTGTAAGTTTTTATTTTATTTTTTTGCTTTTGCATTTCATACATTTATATGTATACACACACATATATATGTATGTGTGTGTGTGTATGTGTATATATGTATATATGAAATACCACAATAAAAAGACCAAAATGTTAATGGCATTATCTCTAAGTAGTGGGAAATGAGCAATTTTTTCTTCTTTGTTCTTGCCCATGTTTTTAATATTTATAAAAAATATGTTACTTTTGTATTCAGAAATAATCTCCGTCCTAAGTAATTTTTTAATATTTTTAAAATTATTGTACTTTAGATGAAGGTTTACAAAACAAACTAGCTTCTCATTAAACAATTACTACAACATTGTTTTGTGACATTGGTTACCAACCCCACGACATTCAATACTCTCCCTTCTAACCCTTGGGTTCCCTATTACCAAATTTCCTGTCCCCTCCTGCCTTCTAATCCTTACCCCTGGGCTAGTGTGCCCCTTTAGTCTTGTTTTGCTTTATGGGCCTGTCTAATCTTTGGCTGAAGGGTGAACCTCAGGAGTAACTTCATTACTGAGCTAAAAGGGTGTCCAGGGTAATAATTTTTTTTTTAAATCAATAAAAGTACATTCAGAGGAAAAAAAAAATGAAAAAAGTAGATTATTTCTTGAGGCTCCTTCATTTTTTCAGTTTTGTCATTGCATGTACCAAGGAAAGCAAGCAGTTCAGTATTTGAAAAAGGATTCATAAGGTGTAAATAAATTAGATGTAAAGATTTTTTGAACCCTTAAAATTACCAAAAACTAAATGTTTGGCAATAAAAAATCGTATGCCATAATGAGAAAAAGAAACAAACTGACACAAAAAACATGAGTAGATGACTAATATACTTTGTAATTATCACATAAGGGAAGAATTGTACCTCTGTTGAGTACTCCATATTCTGTGTGGAAAACTCCAACCAGTTTAGCATAGTTTAGATTGACATGAGAATTAACTGCCCTTTGAAACGCATCACCCCACAGAGCTGGTCCACCAGGTTTCATCTGAAAACTAACCAGTTCATAGACTCCTAAAGTAGGGAGAAAGAGATTTCACAGAAAACGTTCAAGCAACTTCTAATCATGTTTAGTCTGGTTCCAGTGGAAGGCTAATCTACATAAACAGATTTGAGGGTCATGCACCTACACGTTTAAAAAAAGAACAGTTGCCACTGACTCATGGTGACCTCATGTGTGTCAGAACAGAACTGTGCTCATAGTGTTTTCAATGGCTGATTTTTCAGAGGTAGATTGCCAGGGCTTTCTTCCAAGATGCCTCTGGGTAGACTGGAACCTCCAACCTTCCAGTTACCAGCTGAGCATGTTAACTGTTTTCATCACCCAGAGACTCACCCATGTTTATGTTGCTGTTGTTAGTTGCTGTTGAGTTGATTCCGACTCCTGGCAACCCCATGTATGCAGAGTAGAACTGCTCCATACACTTTCCACGGCTGTGATCTTTCAGAAGCAGATTTCCAGGCCTGACTTTCCAAGGTGCCTCTGGGTGGTTCAGACCGCCAACCTTTCACGTAGCAGTTGAGCACTTTACCATTTGTGCCACCCAGGGACCCCCTATGTTTATGACCTCCTATGTTTATGGTGTTGTGTGCCATTGAGTTGATTCCAACTCATAGCGGCTCAATAGGATAGAGTAGAACTGCCCCATAGGGTTTCCTAGGCCACAGTCTTTATGGGATCAGATCTCCAGGTCTTTTCTCTGGAGGAACAGCTAGTGGGTTTGAACTACTTACCTTTCAGTTAGTAGCTGAGTGCCACCAGGGCTCCTTATGTTTATGTAGATGTATCTATTAATTTTTTGCATTATTTTTCTTCACTTTTATGCTTAGTAAGTTCTTGCCCATGTTTAAGAGTCAGTTGTTAAGCTTAATCATATAGAAGAAAAAGAAAAAGCTCTGGAAGCAATATATAAGCTATTATCTCAAATATTTTTATTTCTTATCCTAAGTATTAAGTATTTCATATCTCCTATGTTTCTCTTTTCGTTACAGTTTTTGAGAGGCAATACTTTTTTCTTTGGATAATTTCCCCCTACAGGTTTCTATTTCCAACAAGAATAGCAAGCAAATAGTGGACCTGAAGTGATGTCTCTGAGCTTTTAAGGAAAAAAAAAAAAAAAAAAGAGAGAGAGATGGTTTTGTTGTTCCTAAGTATTCAGGTAAATACTTAAAAAGGATTTGCTTTCATCTTCTGGTAGGAAGTGTGTTGTAGGTAGAGAAAAAGAAATTAGGGGACAAGTAGACTTGAGAAGTAATAGGAAAAAAAAATGCAAAAGATACTGAAGAATAAATAACAGCATAGAGGAAGAGAACCTGAATTTGACAGTATCCTAGAAGTCAACTATTTAGGTAGTGTTGAACGCTAAGGGCAAGTATAAGTGGATAAGCATCCAAAGAAGACTTTTCAAGCCTCTTGTAATCTAAAGCAGACTACAAAGTTGGGAATAATGGGGGAAATAAAATAAAGCTTAAATTAGTTTATGCTTTTCTAATCTGACCTTTATTTAAAACTGGACTGAGGTAATTATTAAAGTCAGCAAGAAATGAAATCAGCAAGAAGACAAATCTTTAGGAATTATTTCCATAATGAAAAATAAGAAAAAGACATAAAAGTTAGCCCACAGTAATACAGCCTGGCAGTTTCAGTTAATTCATTCCTCCTAAACAGTCATTTTTATAAGCAAAGATGTATTTAATGATTTAACATTAGCTGTAATTTGTGAGAAAAAACACTTTTGTATTAAAAGTTGATATTTTAAAATTATGACAAAATTTCATACACCATTTTTCATCTACCTACACGTTTTCCCTGCTTCCAATCCTCAACTCCTCAACTTTTACTCATCATTTCAACTTTATATAACATAGCTAAGTTTTAAGAATTAATAAGATTCAATTTGGAAAAACACTTCATTATTTAATGCCCATTGTTTTAAGAAGTCAAATTCATCTTTATCTCAACAATTGCCATATTATTGTTGTTGTTGGTTGGTGTTGAGTTGATTCTGACTCATAGCAACCCCATGTGTGCAGAGTAGAACTGTGCACCATAGGGTTTTCAAATTTGTGACCATTCAGAAGTAGATCACCAGGCCTGTCTCCTGAAGCGCCTGCCGACCTTTCGGCTAGTAGTCAAGGGCTTAACTATCTGTGCTACCCAGGGACTCCTACTGTATAAAACAAAGGATTTCTTTCATTTTTTTCCTGTGGACCTTTAGTTTTTACAGCTTATGGTCTTTAGATATTTTAGTCATCAATATTCAAAGTGATGAAGAAGGAAAGGTCTACCTTCTTTTGGAGGGTTTTCTATTTTGCACCATGGTACCAGGTAAGAAATCTCCCACTCTTGCTTATCTATAAGAGGCAAATTTGGGATAAGGAATTGTTCTTGCCATTCCTTATTTTTGGCCAAGGCTTTCTGAACTTCAATTTGATGAGCAAAATTATCTATGGGCAGAAAAATAAAAATTTTCAATTTAAAATCTCCTATATTTTTTGGGATTTCATTAAATTCGATATACTTACTTCAAGGACATATAGGGACATTGTGTTATACAGTAAAACCTGAGAAAGCGGGAACCTGTGTAAGGCGGAAACCTGTCACTGAAGGAAAACTCAAACACTTTCCACTAAAAGGAGGGTTAGAAAAGTGGTAAGACTGTACTCTGTCAAAGGTGGAGGCGTTCCCATCGAGTTCCAGCTCTCACAGTTTTCACTGTATCTTTGGAGATACCAAGATAAACACATGTGATATCTGAGGTCAAGCTGCTCTTGGTCTAACAGGGAAATAGAAATGTAAACAACTAATTATAATGCATTTTTTAGGCTCCACCATTTACTAGGCAGTTGTATGACTTAAGTAAGTTATTCAATCTTTTTATGCACCTGTTTTCTAATCTGTGAAATGGGGATAATAATCTAGTGTCTATCTCCAGGGCTGTTGTGAGGATTAAATGAATTAAGATGAACAAAGTTTATAATAGTGCTTGGAACCTAGTTAGCACTCAATATATGTTAATTATTCTTATTAATTTAATTGAGGCATGTCATTTATAGTCCCAGCTTAGAGACAACACTCTTTTTCGCTTTGGTGCTGGTGGTGGAGAATGGTCAGATCAACGTACACCTTGAATCAAATGTAACGTAAGTGATATTAAGATGTACTTTTTAAGCCTTTTCTGTTTTGAACAAATAGCTTCCAAACAAATGAAGCCAATTCTCTTACCTACTGTTACCCATTCTTTTTCCTCATTACTTAGTTTTCTTCTGTTTGAATTAGGGCCTCATAAGACTAATGGTAGAAGAGTTATATGGTTTATGCTGGGGATAAGGAATAACACCTCTATTACAGATTGAGTTATATTAGGACTTTATTATTTTAATGGGGCATGATTCAACTTGGGGCATACCTAAAACAAGCATTGTGTTTTAAAGGGGCTAGTTCTATTATAATAGGGAAAAATACCAAGTATGGACACGTTAAGTATAGAATGACCATTTTTCATATTATTTTTTGACTATTGACTTTGGATACTGATCACAAAACATTAAATGGAATTATTGAAAGTTCTCTGGATATCACCAAGTCCATGTAGATTGCCAAGTAAAGAGATGGAAACCAAAACAACCAAACCCACTGCCGTTGAGTCAATTCATACTCATAGCCACCCTATAGGGTTTCCAAAGCTGTAAATCTCCACAGAAGCAGACTGCCACAACTTTCTTCCATAGAGCCATTGGTGGTTTCGAACCCCCAACCTTTTGGTTAGCAGTTGATCTAGGCATTCCTGTAACCTGTTCTACCGCTGCTAAACCAGGAGTAGGTCAGTTTCAATGTGGGGAGAACTCTGATCCCTTTGCCTTTTTCTCCCTAGTAGTATAATAACAGTGAACTCCCTGAAACTCTGGGGGCAGAAATGAGATAAAAGTAGTCCCCTAAACATAACAGAATAATTCATTCTCAGAGTTGGGTAAAGGCTTACAAGTTAACTATCATCCTCCATCATCCTCTACTTCCCCAAAGCCCTATGTGCTTGAACTGTTTCTACTAAAACCCTGATATCCAGCCATAGCTTCAATAATAAGAAAAAATAACTTTCTTTTGGTGATACTAACACATTTGGGTTCTTAACAATCACTGCTTTAAATTTTTCATAAACCATTTTTATAATAAAACATTCTAAAATTTTTCTGAGAATTAAAGTGTAATTCATAATTTTATGATTTAAGATATGTGACTACACATTTTCCCCTCTATGATAACATAAGAATTTGAGCAGGGCTTGTTAAAGGTGTACTATCGGGAAGAGCAACCACTCAATTTTTTTTGGTTTTGGTTTTTAAAGGTTTTACTTGACCTGTATGTATTTACAGTAGTAGAGATCTAAGAACTAAGTCTCACGTTGCATCTAACAGAATGAAAATCTGTACTGAACCCTTAGGCTGGATGACTCATACCATACTTCCAAATATGAAACACTTTATTCACTCTGCCTCCAAATTCTACACTCCAGAATCCAATCAGTTCAGAGTGAGCTGTCCGAAGATAAATGTTTTTCTTAATATTTTCCAGGAACACACTCATCTTTGAAGGTTTAAGGTAATAAGTACGAAATTCATAGAATGTCCCATCATACTGTCTAGGGCCCGTAGCAAAAGATGAACACACCTGAAGAAAGATAAGACAAATTTCAATATTTTGGGGATGTAGAAAACAACAAAAACAAAGCCATTGTTGCAACCCTATGTGCAACAGAGTAGAACTTCTCCATAGGGTTTACTTGGCTGTAGTCTTTACGGAAGCAGATCACCAGGCCTTTTTTCCATGGTGCTGCTGGGTGGGTATAAACCACCAACCTTTAGCTTAGTAGCCAATTGGAAACCACTTGCATCACACAGGGACCTTTTTGGGGAAGTAGGATTTACTATAGGATGTCATAGTCAAGTCTGAATCTGGAAACAAGGGACACTCATTAGAATCATAATCCATGTTGGTACTTCTGTTGTCATCTCTAGAAATCTTTGTTTATGTAGAGGTGTCGATAAAGAGAGCAATCTTAAATATGCTGAATATACGGCTACTCTTTCTTAGCAATAAGAAACAGCGATTATATATGTAGACCTCACCAGATGGAATACATAGCAATCAAATCAACTTCATCTGTGGAAAAGGATGATGAAAAAGCTCAATATCGTCAGTCAGAACAAGGGCAAGGGCTGACTATGGAACAGACAATCAATTACTCATATGCAAGTTCAAGTTGAAGCTGAAGAAAATTACAAGTCCACAAGAGCCAAGTACGACCCTGAGTATATCCCACCTGAATTTAGAGACCATCTCAAGAATAGATTTGACACATTGGACACTAATAACTGAAGACCAGACAAGTTGTGGAATGACACCCTACATGAAGAAAGCCAAGAGGTCATTAAAAAGACAGGAAAGAAAGAAAAGACCAAAATGGATGTCAGAAGAAACTTTGAAACTTGCTCTTGAATGTCAAATAACTAAAGTGAATGGTGGAAATGATGAAGTAAAAGAGTTGAACAGAAAATTTCAAAGGATGGCTCAAGAAGACAAAGTAATCTATTATAATGACATGTGCAAACATTTGGAGATAGAAAACCTAAAGGGAAGAACATGTTCGGCATTTCTCAAGCTGAAATAACTGCAGAAAAAATTCAAGCCTCGAGTTGCAATACTGAAGGATTCTAAGGGGAAAATATTAAACAACACAGGAAGCATCAAAAGAAGATGGAAAGAATACATGGAGTCACTATACCAAAATGAACTGGTCGACGTTCAACCATTTCAGGAGGTAGCATATGATCAGGAACCAATGGTACTGAAGGAAGAGGTTCAAGCAGCACTGAAGACACTGGCGAAAAACAAGGCTCTAGGAATCGATGGAATACCAGTTGAGATGTTTCAACAAACGGATGCAGTGCTGGAAATGCTGACTCTGTATGCCAAGAAATCTGGAAGACACTGGCCTGGCCAACCGACTGGAAGAGATCCATTATTTATGCCTATTCCAAAAAAGGCTGATCCAACCGAATGTGTAAATTATTGAACAGTATCATTAATATCATATGCAAGTAAAATTTTGTTGAAGATCATTCAAAAGCAGCTGCAGGAGTACATCAACAAGAAACTGCCAGAAATTCAAGCCGGATTCAGAAGAGAATGTGGAACAAGGGATATCACTGCTGATGTCAGATGGATCCTGGCTGAAAGCAGAGAATACCAGAAAGATGTTAACCTGTGTTTTATTGGCTATGCAAAGGCATTTGACTGTGTGGATCATAACAAATTATGGATAACACTGAGAAGAATGGGAATTACAGAACACTTAATTGTGCTTATGAGGAACCTGTACATAGATCAGTTGGCAGTCGTTCGAACAGAAGAAGGGGATACTGTGTAGTTTAAAGTCAGGAAAGGTGTGCATCAGGGTTGTATCCTTTCACCATACTTATTCAATCTGTGTGCTGAGCAAATAATCCAAGAAGCTGAACTTATATGAAGAAGAACGCGGATTGGAGGAAGACTCATTAACAACCTGTGTAACGCAGATGACACAACCTTGCTTGCTTAAAGTGAAGAGGACTTGAAGCACTTACTGCTGAAGATCAAACACCACAGTCTTCAGTATGGAGTACTGGATTACACCTCAAAACAAAGAAAACAAAAATCCTCACAACTGGACCAATAAACAACATCATGATAAATGGAGAAAAGATTGAAGTTGTCAAGGAGTTCATTTTACTTGGATCCGCAATCAACACCCATGGAAACAGCAGCCAAGAAATTAAACAATGCATTGCATTGGGCAAATCTGCTGCAAAAGACCTCTTTAAAGTGTTAAAAAGCAAAGCTGTTACCTTGAAGACTAAGGTGTGCCTGACCCAAGCCATGGTGTTTTCAACCACCTCATATGCATGTAAAAGCTGGACTATGAATAAGGAAGACCAAAGAACTGACGCCTTTGAATTGTGGTGTTGGAGAAGGATATTGAATATACCATGGACGGCCAAAAGAACAAACAAATCTGTTTTGGTAGAAGTACAGTGAGAATGCTTCTTAGAAGCAAGGATGGTGAGACTGTCTCATACACTTTGGACATGTTATCAGGAGGGATCAGTCTCTGGAGAAGACATCATGCTTGGTAGAAGGTCATCGAAAAAGAGGAAGACCCTCAATGATCTGGATTGACACAGTGGCTGCAACAGTGGGCTCAAGCATAACAAAGATTGTGAGGGTGGCGTAGGACTGGGCAGTCTTTCGTTCTTTTGTATATAGGGTCGTTAATGAGTTGGAACCGACTCGACGACACCTAACAAGAACAACTTTTTTAGCAGGGGTCCACCTTCACTCATTTTTCATGAAAAGTTGTTCAGAAGAAGGCAATGGGATCTTAAAGATACTCCCTTATGCAAGAATTACAATTAGGATCCTAATAAGTTTACAAATAGTTTTCCTTTATTTGGTGAATTTTCCATTTTTAGGCAATTATTACATGTGTTATAGTTATTCATTATGCAATATTTATATTTGTAAAACATGCAGCTCTTCTGGAAGGTACAACGGAAATATATTTACTAGCAGAAAAATTTTTTTTAAGGTTCTTAAAAAGGTGAAAATTGCTGTTCAGGTCAGAAAGTATTTCCTAAAACTAATGAGGCAGAACACTGATCAAAAATAGCACTGGAATGTAACTTATGTAATACCAAAAACCAAATCCATTGCCATCGAGTCGATTCCGACTCACAGGGGCCCTATAGGACAGAGGAGAACTGCCTCATAGGGCTTCCAAGGAGCAGCTGGTGGATTCAAACTGCTGACATTTTGGTTAGCAGCTGAGCTCTTAACCACTGCGCCACCAGGGCTCCAACTAATGCAATAGAAGTCTATAATCCATCCAATGGCACTGTAACATTGTGGTAGATTATATGAATACTAGAAAGAGAAAAATCAATGAGTTAGAATTGTCTGAATCATGATTAGTTTTTAATTATAGATGCAATGTAAAACAGGGCATTTAATCCATCCAGTTATACCAGGTGGATGGGAATATCTCTTAATAATCTTTAGTTCTCTTTGTAAAAGTCATATACTTACTATGTAACCTTCTGTTCTAAATTGGTCCCCTGAGTGCATTTAACTTTCAGTAGGAAATAATCTGCCAGAAATTATCCTACCAGAAATTTCTCTGTGTACAGAGGCATACACATGTATATATACACATTTGGCATTTTATTTTAGAAATTCATCTTACCTGAGATTGGTTAACACTTGCCTGTTCCCAGAAGCCCATTACAGCAGAATAATCTATTAAAAGAGAGTTTTGGTACCTACAAAGCTATGAATGAATTTTGGGCTTACATTGACTACTGGTATGGCAAATGAAATCAGTAAGCTTTTAGCTCTATTATATTTTGGTTACAACATACAATTGTGTATGTATTTTATTCAACTATGGATAATACGACTTAATTGTAATTGTCATTCTTAAGTTCATTCCATTCATGTCCATTTTGAGTTATATTCTTCTTGTCCAGATGTCTAAGCTTGCTTGGAAAGCAAGTACTCCCACCAAAAACAATTGCAGCTATCCCTTCTTTTGGTAGACATTCTCTTTGTGTCATTTTAGCCAAACTCTAATAACAGAATGTGCAAGTAAGCAACACCTAGTATCTATGGTTTAAAAAGTATTCAAAGTAAAATATAAATATATGAGAAAATGGACCAATGAAGTATTTGTAAAAATTGCTTAAGTTGATTTTCAGGGAGTTTGTATTTGGACAACTAAAACGTGGTCAAAAGCACACATTTTTATCATTATTTTTCACAGGAGAAATATATAAGAGGGACGCCCAGGAAAAATTTTAACAGCAGTGATGGAGGTGTGGTTGGGGGATAAGCCAATTTTTGTTGCAGATCAGAGACTAGAATACTGGGAGAGGAACCATAATAAGTGCTTTAAAGCACCCTCACCATTGCCAACAAGTTGATTTTGACTCATAGTTGCTCTGTACGACAGAGGAGAATTGCCACATAGGGTTTCCGAGGCTGTCATCTTTACAGAAGCAGATTACCACATCTTTCTCCCTCAGAACTGCTGGAGTGTTCCAACCACAGACCTTTCGGTTAACAGGCGAGAGCTTAAACACTGCACCACCAGGCTTTCTTATCTCCAAGTTAGGACTCATTCTCAACAGCAGTGGCTTCCAATTCACTTATAAGAGAACTGGTTGATATTTAATAAAGTCGAAGCTCAGAATAAGGTTGTAAAGAAATAATCCTTGGCTCTGCCCTAGAGACGGTAAATCTTTAGTCTTCACCAGAATGTCTTTTTCTAGAATAGTTTATCCTCCCCTTCTGCCTGTTAAGAGTAAAAACACTGAACATCGAAAGGGTAAAAAAAAAAGTCTCTAGGTTGGATTTACCTAGGCCAATGCCCAAGGCAAAATCACTGTGCTCTGTTTTGTACATTTCTCATCTAAGGGTTAGGTGAGTTTGTTTATAATCGTCCTATTTGCTAAGAGGTTCCTGACCCTAGCCGATGTAATTCTTAAGCGTGGGAAGCGAAAGCACGAGACGCGACCTCCGGGCTGGGTCCTCCCCAACCCGGACCCTGGGCCTCCTCTTCAAGGCTTTCTGCAAGATGCTCGGGCGTTGTGCATTTCGTTTCAAAGAGGGAAGCTGGTTCTGTTAAAAGTGGCTGATAGTCCTCTTCCTCCTTCAACCTTCAGTAAGAGGGAGTGGTGACTTGTAAACGGAACATCAATAGGAGAATCCCGCAAAGCGCCTGGCCAAACAACAGCCTGGTGGGCGCTCGCTGAGCCGCAGCCGCGACGCTTCTGGGCGGCAAAAACGCGACAGACGGCGCGCCTCAAGGGTGTCCTCAGGGGCGCCTGGCCCTAAGCCAGAAAAGCCCACTGTCCACTGCTGCCCGCGAAAAGGAGGCGATATCGACAAGCGATCGCCTTCCTCCGGAGGCTGCATCTCGGAGTCCTCCCCTTATGAGGTTGGGGGAAAAAGCGCGGAGATCGCAGTATGGGCGCGCGCGTGTGTGTGTAGGTAGAGCGCATGCGAAGGGCTCCTGCGCGCGTGCACTGCAGATACCCTTCCCCTCCCCCCAGGAACACGACCGGCGCGCCCTTGTGGCCAGTACCTGAGGCGCGAGGGGCCGGGCGCCTAGAGCCCTAGTCGGGCCGTTTCGGAGGACGAGCAGGGCAAGGGCTTCGAACGCTGCAGAGAAGGGCAGCAAGCAGTTATCTTTCTCCGACCCCTTTCCTGCTTCCCGATAGGGAAATGGCTGTGGCTGCACCAGTGGCAGACTCGGACTGCAGGGCGGGTTTCGGCGGGGCCTGCTCCTCCCCCAGTCGGGAGGCGCGGCCCCAAGGCCTGGGTCGCTTGTCTTTTTCAGCGGGCAGGGGCACGACGCCAGGAACGTTTTGTGTCACTCTTACTCGTCGACTGAAGGAGCCCAGGTGGTGCAGTGGTTAAGAGCTACGGCTGCTAACCAAAAGGTCATTGGTTCAAATCCACCAGCCACTCCGGGAAGAAAGATGTGGCAGTCTGCTATCCATAAAGATTTACAGCCTTGGAAACTCTATGGGTCAGTTCTGTGTCCTATATGGTGGCTAAGAGTCAGAATCAACTCCACGGTGATGGGTTAGTATGCTTCAAGAGTCCCTGGGTGGTACAAGCAGTTAATATGCTCTGCAGTTTTTCTTTGACCTATTGCGAAGGTCACCTTTTGTTGCCCCGAACTCGTTGCCTCAGATGTCAGAGAGGATATTAGAATTAGCTGAATGCTGAGATTGGTCCTGCTCCACAGTTGTGGGTCCACCACCTCGTCTGCTTCATGTTTGTGGTACAGGGTGTGTATGTATGTTCACTGAGAAGGAAGTATGGAGTGAGTATGTAATACTTTGCTACAAAACCAGAGAGGTTTTTGCCAAGGTTAAGTTGTTTATAAGGTCCCTGGGTGGTGCAAATGATTTGCTCTTGGCTACTAAGTGAAAGGTTGGCAGTTCAAACCCACCAAACAGCCCTGTGGAAGAAAGGCCTGGCAATCTGCTTCTGTAAAGATTACAGCTCAGAAAACCGTATGGAGTTGAGTTCTACTCTGTAACACATGGGGCCACCGTAAGTTGGAATCGACTCCAAAGCAACGAGTTTGGTTTATTTTATTTTTTGTAGTTACGTTGTGTGTGGTGTAACGTGTACAGAAAATACCAACTAGGCCTTCGGTTTTTGCATTAAGTTCATTCTCAGTCCCTATTACCAGCCCAAGCATGACTTTGGAATGCTCCTAATAATGCTTTACATTAGATTTCCCAGGAACTCAGGGGAATGGAGCCACCGAGTGAGAGTTAAAAAAGTCAAATTTAATGATACATAGTTTGAAATCAAATAGTTTTGTAAGTCTTAAAAGCAAAACAGCAGACCTCTGATATAGTACTCCCTATCCCTTGTTCCTGGTCCCCAGAATAACTGCTTTCAACATCTTTAAGGGGTTTCTTCTAAAGATTGTTTTCATATTCCTAAATAATAGGCATATTCTGCTGTTTCTTAATTTTTTTCAGTTATATTTAGTATCTACTGATTTCTTTCTATGGAAGAAGCGGTTTCAGGTCTCCTACATACCACTCCCCCCAAATGCACTTCCCTTCCCACATCTAATAATGATCACATTATTAGTAATTAGTTAACTGATCACATTACTAATTTACATTGTATCAAGGTTTATGTTATGCTAATTTATAATTACATTATTCCAAACATTGAAGTAATATTGCTTACATTATTAGGACTATGGAATTATTACAGGGCTGTCACCTGTGATTGTACTGGTTGTGCCTTGTGCAAGTGCTTCTGAACTCATCTGTTCAGAGGAAGGGAGGCTTTTTAAAACTGGTAATTTCAGAAAGGATGCCTTAGATTTTCCAGAGAAGGGGCATCTATTTCTAATTAAGTAACACTAAACAAAGCATCATGTGCCAGGACTGGATCTATATGGTTAAACTGATTTACTTATACTTTTTGTTTTTTTTTGTTTGTTTTCCTGAAATTAACAGCTTATTCATCAAATTCTTTCTATTCACCAGGCACTTTTCTAGAAACTGGGTACAGAGGTGAACAAGAGGCAAACTTCTTGCCCTCTTGAAATTTACAGTCTATGCTGGGTGAAACAGAAAGCTAAAGAAGAGAGAAAAAACAACAACTCCATTGCCGTTTGTCCATTCTGACTCATGGTGACCCCACGTGTGTTGAAGTAGAACAATGCTCCATAGGTTCTTCAATGGCTGAATTTTCAGAAGTAGACTGCCCAGTCTTTTTTCTGAGGCACCACTGAGTGGGCTGGAACTTCCAATCTTTTGGTTAGCAGTTAAGTGCATTAACTGTTTGCACCACCCTAGGGACTCGGGAAATCTGTCTAAACCCAAACCAAACCCACAGCTGTCGAGATGATTCTGACTCATAGTGACCCTATAGTACAGGGTAGAACTGCCACATAGGGTTTCCAAGGCTGTAAATCTTTTTGAAAGCAGATTGTCACATCTTTCTCCCACAGAACAGCTGGTGAGTTCAAACGCTGACCTTTTGGTTAGCAGCCAAGTGCTTTAACCACTGTGCCACCAGGACTCCACTGGAAATATATCAGGGGTTAATAAATACAATGAAGAAAAATAATGTAGGATATGGGGGAAAAAAAAGAGCTGGAGAAAGGTAGCAGAGATTGCTAGCTATTTCCCAGTATCCAATCTTTTCTTTCTTTTTTTTTTGGTTCTTAGTAATAGAATCCATGCAGCTAATGTGGTTGTGTAACTAAGTCCTGACCAATGGGATGCAAGGGACAGTGTATCTGTGACCTCCCATAAGTGATCTTAAAGTGGGGCAGGGGTTATTGTCTTTCTTTGTCCCTTCCTCATTTCTCCTTGCTGGAATATGGATGTAGTGGACTATAAGGTGGAAGCCCAACGCTGAAGATGGTGGAACAAACAACAAGAGAGAAGTCTAGGTTTCTGACACTGTGAAGGCACCATACCTGGAGCCCTGGACTGCCCATCACTGGGCTTTTTCTTTTTTCTTTTTTAAATTGTGCTTTAGGTGAATATTCACAGAGCAAGTTAGTTTCTCATTAAACAATTAATACACAGATTGTTTTGTGACATTGGTTGCCAATGCTGCGATATATCAACCCTCTCCCCTTCTCCACCTTGGGTTTCCTGTTTTCATTTGTCCAGTTTTCTTGTCCCTTCCTGCCTTTTCGTCTTTGCTTTTAGGCTGGTGTGCCTATTTAGTCTCATATGCATAATTGAACTATGAAGTACGTTCCTCACCTGTGTTATGGATTGCCTTATAGACCTGTCTAATCTTTGGCTGAATGGTGAACCTCAGGAGTGACTTCAGTTCATTGGACTTCTTTTACATGAGAAATCATTCTAGTTTAGGCCACTGTTATTTGGCTTAACCCTATAATCTTAAGCAATATGCGGGTAATTTTTCTTATGTTGGGTTTTTTTTTTTTTTTTAAATCACTTACTGTTGTTGCTGTTAGGTGCCATCGAGTAGATTCAGATTCATAGTGACCCCATGTCACTAAGTATTATTAGTCACCAGATTCTTTGCCAAAAGTATGGTATACATTTCCTCTCGATATAATTAAACACTTTAGGCAATTATCCTTTCTGGAATTCTTTGTTCTTTTTATTCAGTCTAGGCTAGTTTTTCTCTAAGAAGTCATGGCAGTAATTCTGGGTTTTCCTTTCAGTGATATATTAGGGAATTTCATTTGCTTTGTGTTTTTAAATGTTTAACAAATGTTGTTAGGTGCTGTCGAATTGGTTCCGACTCCTGGTGACCCTATGTACAACAAAATGAAACAGTGCCCGGTCCTGCGCCATCCTCACAATCCTTTCTATGCTTGAACCAATTGTCGCAGCCACTGTGTCAGTCCATCTCGTTGAGGGTCTTCCTCTTTTTTGCTGTCCCTCTACTTTACCAAGCATGATATCCTTCTCCAGGGACTGATCCCTCCTGACAAAATGTCTGAAGTATGTGAGATATAGTCTTGCCATCCTTGCTTCTAAGGAGCATTCTGGTTATACTTCTTCCAAGAGAGATTTGTTCGTTCTTTTTCAGTCTATGGTATATTCAGTATTCTTCACCAACACCACAATTCAAAGGTGTCAATTCTTCAGTCTTCCTCATTCATTGTCCAGCTTTCAAATACTTATAAGGTGATTGAAAACACCATGGCTTGGGTCAGGAGCACCTTAGTTTTCAAGATGACATCTTTGCTTTTCAACACTTTGAAGAGGTCTTTTGCAGCAGATTTGCCCAATGCAATGCATTGTTTGATTTCTTAATTGCTGCTTCCATGGGTGTTGATTGTGGATCCAAGTAAAATGAAATCCTTGACAACTTCAATCTTTCCTCCGTTTATTATGATGTTGCTTATTGGTCCAGTTGTGAGGATTTTTGTTTTCTTTATGTTGAGATGTAATCCATACTGAAGGCTGTGGTCTTTGATCTTCATCAGTAAGTGCTTCAAGTCCTCTTCACTTTCAGCAAGCAAGGTTGTGTCATCTGCATAACACAGGTTGTTAATGAATCTTCCTCCAATCTTGATACCCCGTTCTTCTTCATAGAGTCAGGCTTCTCGGATTATTTGCTGAGCATACAGATTGAATAGGTATGTAGGGTTAAAAAGAAAATCAATTATATTGAGCTAGATCATCAAAAGGAGCTCTGGTGAGGCAATGGTTAAGCATTGGGCTGCTAACGGAAAGGTCAGTGGTTCAAACCCACCAGCAGCTTCGCAGGAGAAAAGACCTGGTGATCTGCTCTTGTAAAGATTACAGCCTAGGAAATCTTATGGGGCAGGTCTACTCTGTCATATAGGGTTGCCCTAAGTCTGAATTGACTTGAGGGCACACAACAACAACAGTAAAGTCATCAAAATGTAAAAGCAAATTCTTGATAAAGAAATAGACGTACGTCATTGTTAAGGCACTAAATATCAGGATCTAATGGTGGGATGGTGGGTGTAACAGCTTTAATAATTTTGAAGTAGTGATGAGCATAAAAGACATTTTAATATATTTTCAATAATTGCCGTGGAATTTAACAATATCTATGATTTTTATTGGTCAGAAAGTCACAGGTCCTGCTAATAATATTGTGATTTGTTTCCTACTTTGATAATGAAAGGAAATGCTTAATTTCAGTTAGAAATTGATGATGATAAAGATGTAACTGTTCCCCATCCAAGTTGCCAGATCCCCTCAATTCTATCCATAGACCCTTTTGAGTTCTATGTACCAGAGGTTAAGAACTACTTCTCTAGAGTCAGAGGCATATCTATGGAAAATAGCATCTATGGCAAGCACTGAAATTGCACATCTGTCCAAACATCTGACACTCATCTTTTAGATAACTTTACCATAGTATCAGCTCAAAAATACAAGTCAAGCTCATTAATCCTTTATACATTATGATACTACATGAAAATTACAACTGCACCTTCCTTGCTTTCACTGATGAAAATTGATCTAGGATGTGCCCAAAGTCATTTTTTTTTTTTTTAGTTTCCTCTCTTTCAACACTCAGCAGAACAAGATCACACAGTCTTCCTTGACCCATGGAGGCTCTCAAATACGAAAGCACATATTAGTTTTAACTTGATGAATGATCTCTCACACGTGGCGATGGAAACTGCTATGGTTACTAGAAACTGCTCAGTGCCTCCCTACCCCTTTCAAGTGGTGCCTTGGGCACATGCCATACCTGCCATACCTTAGATATGCTTCTGTCTAGAGTATGTACTGGGAGTGGAATTGCTGGGTCATAAGATATGCACATATTATCTTTACTAAGTAATGCCAGGGAAACCCTGGTGGTGTAGTGGTTAAGAGCTATGGCTGCTAACCAAAAGTTCAGCAGTTCAAATCCACCAGGTGCTCCTTGGAAACCCTGTGGGGCAGTTGTGCTCTGCCCTATAGGGTTGCTATGAGTCTGAATTGACTCGAAGGCAGAGTGAGTTTTTTTAAAGTAATGCCAAACTGTTTTCAAAATTTATATGCTTAATAGCAGTGCCTGAGGTTTTTTTGGTCAATTTTTAATTATTGCCCATCTGGTCTGGTAAAGCATTGTGTAACAAATAAGTATCATTTGAAAGGCTGTAGAAATTATATTATGTAGGCAAAGGGAACCCTGGTGGCACAGTGGTTAAGAGCTTGGCTGCTAACCAAAAGGTTGGCAGTTCAAATCCACCAGCTGCTGCTTGGAAACCCTATGAGGCAGTTCCACTGTGTCCTATAGGGTTGCTATGAATCGGAATCGACTCGATGGCAGTAGGTTTGGTTTGGTTTTGGTAGGCAAAAGGAACAATCTATTTGATGATGTTTCTGCTTGGTTTTGTCCAAAGGTCAGGTTCATACAAATCCTAACAAGGAACCAGAAGAGGTGGACCCAATGCTGGCCCAATTATGCAGGAGGGCGGTGGCTCTGCATGTAAATTCTAGATATTTGTGCTTTGGTAATACATCCCTTGGTAAGTACTTTCTTTTCTTAGTGTCATTCTGCTGCCACTAGATGGTGGCCTAGACTAACGTTGTCTTCATTGAGTCTCAAGCAGTGTGTGCATGTGTTTTTATTTTTGTTGTTACTTCTGAGTTCCTATGATTTAAGCTATCGGTATTTAGAGTTGAATTCATTCAGAGTTCTTTTTTGGCACGCTGGATTATATATTGGAGAAAAAAATTGAATGAAAGGTGAACTACTATCATAACGTTTATGGGTTGCTTTATTATCAATAAATAATTGATAATAAAAATAAAAATTAAATTTCATTCTATGCTTTTTAAAAAGTATCCTAATCATATCAGTGGATATTTGTTAAGCATCTTTTGTGTGGTAAGCATTGAATTTAATACTATGGGAAAAAGAAAAAAAAAGATTGGATTCCTTTTCTTGAGCTTTTCGATGTGTCTTGACATTCCCACGTCAGCCTGTATGCTGGCAGCCTTCAAGTAAGTGGCAAGAAAGATTTGTTAATAGCTCAATATTTAAATACAATACAAGTTAATTTAAAGTTGTTTCTTTTCATAAAACCATTATTTTTATTACTAAAACACATAAAGATATAGGTTTAATGTATACACACTATATCCTTTTTAGATACTGTGAATGAATTGGCTTTTTGTTTTTTTGGTTCTGCATTCAAAAGTGAATTTTAGTGGCAATAACACTTTAAAACCTCTCATCAATAAATGCAATTACTTCATAAAATAGGCCCTTGCCACTCCATTGCTTTGAATAATCTTCTTTATAATCTTTTCAGTATTAATTTCTAATGTTGTTACATTAAGGTCATATACTGAGGTTTGAGTGATGTTCTTTAGTATTCATTGAAACTTGCTTCCTTTCCTAATGTAGCATCAGTTTTTATAAATATATGATTGGATTTAAAGATATTTTCTAGTGTTTGAGTGCAAAGTTACAGACACATACACATGCAATCTCATTAACTTTGACACATACACATATAATCTCATTAATTTTGCTATTCAAATTGTGTATATCTTTATTACTTGACCTATTAATCTGACACCTGGAAAAAACCTATTGCAATCGAATCAATTCCAACTCATAACAACCCTATAAGACAGAGTAGAACTGCCCCTATGTCATTTTTCCTTCGCATTACTTTCAAACTTTCTGTGTCATGTTTTTGGTATATCTCTTGTAAGTAGAATCCAAACCCAAACCCATTGCCGTAGAGTTGATTCTGACTCATCCAGACCCTATAGGACAGAGTAGAGCTGCCCCATAAGGTTTCCAAGGAGTGGCTGGTGGATTCAATTTGCTGACCTTTTGGTTTGCAGCTGAATGTTTAAACGTAAATAGAATATAGCTGTATTAATTAGATTTATCCTAGAGATGCAAAGAAGCTTTAGCATTAGAAAATACGTTAATGTAATTCATCATACTATTGATGAATATCATCCAAGATTTAATGTGAATACTGATGTGTTTCTTTTATCTTTTTGGCATTCTTTTTTTTATAATCATACTTTTTATCTTCCTCCCCCCGCCACCCCCCGCAACTTTCTTGCCTTCTGTTGAATTGATGAAATTTTCTTTGCTTCCTTTTATTCACTCAACTGATTTGGGAGTTCTGTATCTTATTTTTATTGCTTTTGTGATTACCAAGACATTTTAAGATACTTTTTTTTAACTTTAACAAAGTCTCTATTTGATATCTCTACAATCTTCCTGAATTTATTTGAACATTAAAATGTGTATCTTTGATTTCTAACCCTTCCAACATCTTCCATGTTATTGATGTGTAAAATTACATTTTTTTACCTTATTTTTAAGTCCCTTAATTTTTCTCTCTTGCTCTTGAGCTCTCTCTCTTTTTTTCAAACTTGGTAACAATTTGGATTTGCACATATATGTACCAATTTTTTTTTTTAATTGTTTGCTATGCCTTCTTTCATCCCACACCTATCAGGGTACTGTTCCCCCCACCCCCACCCCCACCCCAGGGTTATGTGTGCGGTAAAATCTCTGTTTTGTTTTCTTTTTTAAATAAAAACATTATTATTTTGCTGTCTCTCTTAAAAGATAGTTGAGTTTGCCAAACTATGGTATATACACACAGTAGAGTACTATGCAACGATAAAGAACACTGATGAATCTGCGAAACATCTCACAACATCGATGAATCTGGAGGCCGTTATGCTGAATGAAATAAGTCAATCTCAGAAGGACAAATATTATATTAGACCGCTACTATAAATGCTCATGTAAAGATTTACACACAAAAAGAAACAATCTTTGATGGTTACAAGGGAGGGGAAGAGTGGAGAAGGAAAAACACTAAATAGACAATAGATAAGTGGTAACCTTGGTTAAGTATTGGGAAAGCCAGCACAACTTGTCCAAGGCAAGGTCATGGAAACTTGGTAGACTCATCCAAACTCCCTGAGGGACTGAATTACTGAACTGAGGGCTGTGGGGACAATGGTCTCAGAGACCATCTAGCTCAATTGACAAAACATAGTTAATAAAGAAAATATTCTACATTCTACTTTGGTGAGTAGCATCTGGGGTCTTAAAAGCTTGTGAGCAGCCATCTAAGATATTCCACTGGTCTCACCCCTTCAGGAGCAAGGGAGAATAAAGAAAACCAAAGAGACACAAAGGAAAGATTAGTCCAAAGGACTAATGGACCATAACTGCCACAGCTTCCACCAGACTGAGTCCAGCACAACTAGATGGTACCTGGCTACCACCACTGACTTCTCTGACAGGGATCACAACAGAGGGTCCCAGACAGAGCTAGAGAAAAATGTAGAACAAAATTCTACTCACAAAAAAAGACTAGACTTACTGGCCTGACAGAGACTGGAGAAACCCTAAGAGTATGGCCCCCGGACACCCTTTTAGCTTAGTAATGAAGTCACTCCTGAGGTTCACCCTTCAGCCAAAGATTAGACAGGCCCATAAAACAAACAATAATACACAGCTCAACCAAGTATATGAGACTAAATGGGCATACCAGCCCAGGGGCAGGGAAGAGAAGGCAGGAGGGGACAGGAAAGCTGGTAATAGGCAACCCAAGGTCGAGAAGGGAGAGTGTTGACATGTCGTGGGGTTGGTAACCAATGTTACAAAACAATACGTGTACTAACTGTTTAATGAGAAGTTAGTTTGTTCTGTAAACCTGCTAAAGTACAATAAAAAAAAAAGATAAGTTTACTATAGAATTTTAGTGTATCAGTTATTTTCCTTGAATATATTAATCCATTTTCTTTGGGCCTTTATTTTCACTGATGTCATTTCTACTTTATTCTTCGTTTTAAAGCATTTGACAAAATAAATACTGTATGATAATATATGATATTGAAATATAATGGGATTATTCATTATTAAGAGCATTATTATTCTATGCTTCATCATTTTTAAACTGGAATAAATATTCTATGTGAAAAGCATCATAACGTTCTTAGACCAACTTCCTTGATTCCCTATTGGCACTTAATTTTACCATTAAATTTTGTTGAATTATAATCATGCTCATATACTTATTAAATATTGCTTTTGAAAAATGACTTTATTGTAAAGATTGTCACACATTTAAAAATACTGATTCAAAAACATTTTCTTATATGTTTCAGAACTTGAAAGTTAAGTGTACCTGCCTCTCTTTCTTTCATAGGCTTGCCATAACAAAATACCACAAAATGGGTGGCTTTAAAGAACAGAAATTTGTATTCTAACAATTCTGGAGGCTAGAAGTCCAAATCAGGGTATCGGCACCGTCAATTCTTTCTGAAGGCTTTGAGAGAAGAACTATTCCATGCCTCTCTACTAGTTTCTGGTGGCTGCTAGCAACCCTGGGCATTCCTTTGCTGCTTGTTGATAAATCTGTCTCTGTCATCACTTGGTGCCTGTCTTCATCCTGTATGTCACTTTTTCTGTGTGTATATTCTCCCCTTTTATGAGATGCCACTCAGCAGGGGCCAGGATTTGGACCCACCCTACTCTGGTATGGCCTCATTTAACTTAACTGATAACAAAAGGAAAACCTTATTTCTAAACAAAGTCACATTCACAGGTACAGAGGTTAGGACTTCAACATATCTTTTTTGGGGAACACAATTCAATTCATAACTCTGACAGATCATACTGTAAAATCTAGACTGTATGACACCTGCAAAAGAACAGGAAGGTGTCTTTTGTAGCACATATACATAGGACTCTAGTGTTTATCATTTTCCCATT